CCTTGCAAAACCTCACCATAACATGTAAATCTTCAGAATTTATTATCTTTTATTCAGATATACAGTGCACCATTCTCATCCAGGGGGGGTTCTGTTTCCACCCACTCACCCTCCCTCCATGGATGGGAAAAACCAGAGAAGTTGAAGCCCATATTAGTCAACAGGTCGCGATGTGCGCTGTACTTGCATCTGTGCTCCTTCATGCATGTCTGCCATTGACTAACACAGGGCAGGGAAATCTGCAGAACTTCAATTCAATCCAAGACATCAAGCCAACTTTTAATATATTGCCCCTGCCACAGAGATTTCCCCCCACACTATATACTGGTTTTCTTAACAGTTGGAGCATATGTTATCTCCAATATCTTATGTGCAAACCTCTAATAACTGTAACCATATAATAAAATAATTATTAATTATTTAATTTGTTTAATTTCTGCCTTGCTTTTTGCCCAACATGGGATCTAAAACTGCTTACAAAATTTAAAATAGTTTATTTTACAAAAAATAATGAAATCACAATTCTGTTTAAAAGTTATATGATTAAAACAATTTAAAATAGATTTTTAAAATAGCTGAAATGATTAATGATTTTTTAAAATTTATCTCTTACCAATATATGTTAATTTTCATGCACAATTGTTAACTGCCATGAAGTCAATTTCCACTTATAGAGACCTTATGAATGAGAGACATTCAAAACATCCTGTTATCAACAGACCTGCTCAGGTCCTGCACAATCAGGGCTGTGGTACCTTGATTACTACTTATTATTATTATTATTATTATTATTATTATCATCATCATCATTATCCTCATCATCCTCCTGTCTCCCCCCCAAAAAATTGGGACTCAAAGTAGCTCACAATTATTTTTTAAAAAATACAATTAAAAGAGAGCATTAAAATAGAATTAAACAGTATTAAAACAAATCACACAATAAAATAATAAAATGCAATTAAAACTAATAAAATTTCTTAAAAATAGTTGTTAAAACATTACAGCACCCTCTAGCCTGTTCTTTTAAAACTCTGCTTTAAAAGCCTGTCTGTATAAAATGGGTTTAGCCTGCTGCCAGGCCAATAAAGAGGGGGGCATTCAGCCTCCCCAGAAAGGGAGTTCCAGAGTCTAGGGGCAGCCACTGAGAAGGCCCTCTTTTGTGTCCCCACCAACCATGCTTGCAATGTAGTGGGACTGAGAGAAGGGCCTCTCCTCAGGACCTCAGAGCCCAGACGGGCTCGTACAAGGAGATACAGTCTGCCAAATAGCCTGGACGTGAGCCATATAAGACTTTAAAGGTCAGAACCAGTCCTCTGGATTGTGCCCAAAAGCAAACTGGCACTCAATGGAATTTTTTTCAACAGGTGTGTTGTATAGTCTCTGTAATCTGCCCCAATTAACAGTCTGCCTGCAGCTCTTTGGACCAGCTGAAGTTTCTCAACACCTTCAAAGGCAGCCCCAAGTAGAGCGTGTTATAATAGTACAAGGTAAAAGGTAAAGGTATTCCCCATTGACAAGGTTGTCAAGTCATGTCCGACCATAGGAGGTGGTGCTCATCTCTGTTACTAAGCCGAATAGCCAGCATTGTCAGAGGCTACTCTGTGATCATGTGGCCAGCATGATTTCACAGAATGCTGTTTACCTTCCCACCGAAGTGGTACCTATTTATCTACTTGCATTTGCATGCTTTCAAACTGCTAGGCTGGCAGAAGCTGGGACTAGTGACAGGAGCTCACCCCATCATGCAGCACCCAGGCCTCAAATTGCCAACCTGCCAATCTTGCAATCAACATAGTGTCTTAACTACTTGAGCCACTGCATCCCCTTCTAGTAGTACAAACAGGATGTAATCAAGGCATGTACAACCAGCACAGTTGGTACACAAAGTTGAAATGTGCAAAAGAACTCCTGGCCACTAAGAAAACTAGGACTTTCAGGTTCAAAGCTGAATCTCAGAGTACCTCCAAACTGTGTCTTCAGGAGGAGTGTAATCCCATTTAACGTAGGCTGAATCTCTATTTCCTGATCTGTTGTCTGACTGACCAGGAGCACCTCTGTCTTGTCTGAATTAAGTTTTAATTTGTTTGCCCTCATTCAGTCCATTACTGATGGCAGACACTGGTTTAGGACCAGGACACCCTCCTTGGATTGGGATGGAAAAGAGTAGCAGAGTTAGAGGGTCATCAGCATATTGATGGCACTGCACCCCAAAATTCTGGACAACCTCTCTCAGCAGTTTCATGTACATGCTAAATAGCACATGAAAAACATAACCTTGAGGAACTCCATAGGTCAACGACCAGCAGATCCAACAAGAGTCCACAAGCACCATCTCCTTGGTTCAACCCTACAAGAAGGAATGAAGCCACTGTAAAACAGTATCTCCAAGTCCCACCCAAAAATATTGTCAATAATACTGAAAGCTGCGGAGAGGTCCAGCAGAACTAACATGAACACATTCCCAGTTCCCTACATAAGTCATCTAACCAAGATAACCAAAACTGTTCCATAGCCAGGCCTGAAACCACATGGAAATGGATTAAATCAGGAGTAGGCAACCTTTCCCCTTTAAGGGCTGAGGGACTTCAGCTCCCAGAAGCCTCAGCCATGTTGGCCAATAGTCCCATGTTGGCCAATAGCTCCTGGGATTCTGGGAGCTGAAGTCCCTCGGCCCTTAAAGGGGAAAGGTTGCCTACCCCTGGATTAGATAATCCATTTCATCCAGAATCTTCTGTAGTTGGGAGGCCACCACATGCTCCAATGCCTTACCCAAAAATGGTAAGTTGGATACTGGCCAATAATTATTCATTATAGAGAGATTCAGGGAAGGCTTTTTCAACAAAGGTCTCACAACTGCCTTGTTGTAGGGAGGCATCAAACTCCCCCTTCATCCACTCAGTCAGTCCTACTCTGGCTTGTTTGATAAGCCAGGAACCACAAGAACAAGCACACGTGTAGAGGCTCTCACTCTCCAAAGATCTTGTCTGCATCCTCAGGCTTGACAAATTGAAATGTATCTATTAAAATTGGACAAACAGGCACCAAAGTTACATTCACTGGCACCATATCAACTACAGCATTCAAATCAGAGATGATCTGAGTGACTATCTGCAAATTGCTGTGTAAACTTTTTACACAGGTGGTCTGCATCTTCTGCTTAAGGACCAATGCATAATACTGACCACTTGAACAGCTCTGCTGGACAGCTCCCTACAGATGCAATGGTGGCAGCAAAAAATAATTACTTTTCTGCTCACACTACCATGGAATAAACCTTCAAATGGGCTTTAGACCATGTTGGTGGAAGACTTGCTTTCTGTCTTCTGCCAACATTGCTCTAGTCTTCATCTCACTCACTTCACCACTGCCAGCTCCCTGGGAAACCAGGGAGTAGGTTTGGCTCCACTCCATTAAGAGGGTAAGCTCAGAAGCAATTGTGTCCACAATTCTGGCCTTTTCCTCATTCCAGAGGTCTGCCAGAAAAATCCCCAAGAGTCATCAGGCATCTGTCTGGATCTATCTGCCTCCTGGGGCAGACTATCCTACTTGGTCCCTCACTCCTGCAGAGGTTCTGAGTCACAGTGAGTGCTAAACCTGAACACATCCATGACAATGGAACTGTGGAGAGTTCCTCCACGCCAAGATCATCATCATCCTCCCAGCACAGAAAACAAGGTCCAGAGTGTGCCTAGCTTCACAGGTAGGGCCAGATATCACTTGGAATAGACCCATGGTTGTCATGAAGCCCATGAAGTTCTGAGCCACTTCCAACAGGGCAATCTCAGCATGGATGTTGTAGTTCTCCAGCACTACCAGCTTCAAGGGCCCCATGACCAACCCTAAGACCACCCCAGATAGCTCAGGAAGGGACTGTTGAGCAGTGGGGTTGGTGCTACATTAACAGAACCCATATTCTATTCTAGCTGCCCAGATTTAGGGATATGAACTCAAAGCCTAAAGACTCTGGAAAAGGGCACTAAGTCATGGAGATGTAATCGCAATAGATCACTGCACCTCTACCTCCCAGTCCCCAGGTCTCACCTGCTGCTCCACAGAAAACCTGGTAGAAAGATCGGAGGGAGTAACCCCCTGCCCCCCAGTCTCATCCAGCCAGATCTGTGTAACATAGATCAGGCAGCATGCTCATCCAGAATCAAATCCTGAATGGCACTTAATTTTCCATTTACTGAGCTGACATTCAATGGCAGCATTTTCAAGCCAGGAGGTCTGTGACCAAAGCTATCCACACTATTTGAGCTGGGAGACAGTCTGGGGGGCAATGAATACACCGTTACACTCCCCACTTCCATGATACTGTAATTTTCTCCTTCCTCTGTATCTCCCACTGCCCTGTATGACTCCAATCGCTGCTCCTTGAATATGTGCACCTTCTTCCTCCTCTGGAAAACACATCCTTCCCGTATTGGGCACCAGCTTATAAAAACAACAAATACAATATATAGATAGGTGGGTGTTATAAGAAGGTAACAAGCTCTTGCCTCTATCGAGCAAAAGGACAGGCCCTCCCCTCATGTACCCTTAAAATGGCTCCCCCAAAAGGGCAAGCCCCCCTTTTGTGTTGCTCCACCTTTTGAGTCCTGTTTTTCTGATGTCACCCCCCACCCCCAATTTGGCAGAGATGCCATTGTTGCCAGACCTAACCCCACAAGAGTCCTATTTTTGTTCCAGATAGGCAAGGCAGCTGCACTGAGTCAGGGCCTTGATCCTGCAAAAAGCAAAATCCTACTGGTGAAGCAAAAGTCCAAGGCAGCAACAGAAAAACAGCAACCTCTTCCTCCCTAGAGTCTCCAGACGATTTCTGTGGTCCTCTCTCTCTGCACAGTGCTGTACATCTATCCATCTTCATTTCCTATTTCCCCCACCACCCACTTTACCAATCTCTATTCTCTTATAAATTAGTCATTTTCATCTCAGAATATGGCCAAAACATGATAGTCTCAGTTTGATAATTTTGGCGCTAGGAAGAGTTCAGAATTAATTTGCTTGTGACACAGTGGTGTGAGTACTGGACTATGGCTCTGGAGACCAGGGTTCAAATCCTTGCTGTCATGGAAACCCACAGGGTGAGCTTGGATGAGTCACATTCTCTCAGCTTCAGTTTGCAATGGCAAACCTCCTCTGAAGAAACATACCCAGAAAACCCTATGATAGGTTCACCTTAGAGTCGCCATAAATCAGAAACAACTTGAAGGCACACAAAAACAATATGACTCATTAATAGGTCATAGAGCAAATTTTGGCGTAGTAGAACAATTCTCCAGCACCAGATTTCAACTGAGTTGATTCTCTCCCTGTTAAGTTTTCTTCACTGTCCAGCTTTCACAACCATCAAAATCAGGAGGATAATGGCATGTATCAGTATTCAATGATATATCTTTACACTTTAGGCTAGTTCTTTCATAGCTCCCCTTTCAAGTTCTAGAATTCATCTCATTTCCTGATTACAGACTCCATTTTGTTTATTTCTGAGTCAAAGAAGAGAAAATCTTTAGACTGTTTCAATGTCTTCATTATCCACTTTAAAGTTGAGTAAAACATCCGTAGTCTCCCCCCTCCATGTTCAAATGTAACTCTGCTTTTGCACTTTCTTCCCTTAGTAATCATTCAAAGTCTTTGCTGTTTTCTCAATACTATGGTATCATTTTCTGTCAGATTCTTGCTTGGTTCTGCCATTATGTATGTTTTTGGGGAGGATTTTAGGATCTGTTTTGCATTGCTGGGTATTGTGTGGATTGGGAGGGAAGGCTCTTAATTGTGAGGATGGGAAGACATTTAGGTAAGTGGAAGATGGGCCAGCCTGGGCAATGTACATCAGGGCCTTGTTTGCTTGATATGTTATCTGCTTCTGCCAGAGGCTTGGAATGTGAGGAGGGTTTTTTTCCCCCTTTCTTTTTTTCTGCAGGCTTGAAACACTGATAGAACTTTGGAATGGCAGCAAGGGGTGGATGGGTGATAAAGAAACCATTAGAGCTAGCTGGTGGGAATATGCTTTGCGCGCCAATATGTGGGGAGTGGAGTTTTGAGTTTTAATATTATATTGGGCCCTGGAACTGGTCAGATACAACTGAAATGCTTTGCTAGCAACTTCTATTCCTGTGTCTGCAATAAAGTCTTTTGTTTTTTTCACTGCAATCTGACTGGTTGTCTGTACACTGGAAACTGAGTTGTCTGGTTCTAAAATTTTCATACCTTAAATTGTTGATGTTCCCTCCTCCAATTTTCATACCTCCTTCTTCCAAGTCTAATCTACCTTTCTGTACAATATGACTACAATATAGATTAAACAGATAGAAGACCCTTTTCTGATATTCTGTTCAATCATAAAGCATTCTGTTTCTTCATAGACTATCCTTACAGTGGCTCTTGCTTGGAGTATAGGTTACACATCAGAACAATCAAATGTTGTGACACACCCATTTTTTAGAGCAATCTAACCTTTTTCAAGATCTGCACAATCAAAGGCATTCCTATAATTTATAAAGCACAGGCTAAATGTCTTCTGAAATTGATCATCCAATCAATGTTTGCAATACAATCACTAGTGTCTTGTTCCTTTCAGAACCAAGCTTGGCATTTCTTGCTCCATATATGGTAGACGTCTGTACTGTAAAATTTTGAACATCACTTTGTTGGCATGGAAGATGAAATCCCTAGTGGTCTGCAATCCTTGTAATGTCTGGTGTCCTCATTCTTGAGGACTGGAATATATAATAATATATTTCAATCTGTGGGCAGTTGTTTTGTGGGCAGATTTTTGTTTAAAAAGTTGAAGAGATTCTTTTTCTGTGACCTGAAAATGTTCTATTAGTATGCCATGTGTTCCTGGTGATTCATTTCTCCCAAGTGCTTTGAGTGTGGCTCCCACCTCCCTTTCTAAAACTGCGAATTCATTCGCTGGCAAAAGGTTCTTCCTTGAATGAATCTACCATCCCTTCACCTCTTCTATAATCCTTCACTGTATTGCCTCCTTTTTTGTTGTTGGTCATACAGTGCATCGCATAGCATCCCCATTTCTGGTTTGAATTTCCCTTTGATTTCTCAGTTCTTGTGAAACACGTCTGGGAGATGATCCTGTGGTCAGGAATACTAAAGGAGAAGTGAGTTCAGGATGAATGGGAGTTTCTCAAAAGGGAGATACTAAAGGCACAATTAATTTACTCCTGAATAAACATGTACAAGGTTGGACAATCAACAAGACTGGCTTATCTTCCAAAAGACTAGCTTATCTTAGTGGCTTATCTTCCAAAGTATAACCAGTGTATTTCAGTATCTAACCTTTTGAGTTATATCTAATTAGTTTTGTATATAATTGCTCATGGTCTATCACTTTTTCAAGATCTGCACAATCAAAGGCATAATAAGATTTCTGAACAGAAATAAGTGCATGCATGCACATGCGCACACACATATGAGTAAATCCCCTTAATACTAGCACACATACTAACATTCCCAGTGGTTCCAAAGTTATCACAAATAATGGAAGCAACATACAGCCTGGGCAGGCAGCTTTTGTCAATTTACAAAAGTCATCAGTGCCACCTTTGGATAATTTATTATATATAAACTACACTCAAAATAAATACTGCACCTAAACTAATTTTAAAGACTCTATTATGGTCACTCAATATTTTCAAACATACTTTTCAATATTTATAATACACAGACTCTTTTTGATGGACTTTTACTGCATACAAGCAACTTTTAAACATTTTTCTCCCCCCGCCTCCTGGTCCACAAAAAGTCATTCTTGTCTTTATATGTATATGATACAGAGTATTCTATCTCTAACATTCTGTTCTGTCACTGTGCACAGTAGCAAAAAAAAAATTAACATTCATTTAAGTTAATGACCTATATGATATTGGTCTATGTGCTCTTACCAAATGATATTGCTATATTCTTTCAAGAGATTAATATTTATTTTCATTAATTGCTACATCTTCACAAATTGTTAGTTTATGTAGTTAAAACCACACATGAATTAGTTCTACAGCTCCTTCCAAATTATGGATTTTCTCAATAGACACTAAGAGAAAAATATTTGATTGTTGTCATTTATCATCCAGGTTGCATGAGGAGGATAAATCTTCATCTTTTTGAGATCAGTAATGAAGATCCTTACAGGATAAGTCTAGTTTCATTATGAATTTAGATAACAAACCAACTTAGCTAATAACTTCAGTATGTTTGTTCCCAGTATATCCCTATTTTAAATCTACAAAAACACAGTTATTAAGGATATTTTTCTAAGGTCAAATTTGCACTGCAGAAATACTGTAGTTTGATGCTGCTTTAACTGTCATGGCTCCATCCTATGGATCTCTGGGATTTGTAGTTTGTTGGAATTTGGAAATTTTTAGATCTCCACAGCTTAAATCTATCTCATTGTACCAATCAAAACTGACCCACTAAATCAATGGAACTAAAGTGCTGACTAACCAAGTTTCAATTGATTCAACTGGGCACACTCTTTGTTGTTCTTGTTGTGTGCCTTCAAGTCATTTTGACTTGAACCCTACTATGGAGTTTTCTTTGCAAGATCTGTTCAGAGGTGGTTTGCCATTGCCTTCTTCTGAGGCTGAGCAACTGTGACTTGCCCAAATTTCACGGCAAAGCTGGGAATCAAACCCTGGTCTCCAAAGTCGCAGTCCAACTACAAACCACTACACCACACAGGCTCCCTCTGGGACTAGTATTTGGCTCTAAATCCAACTGTTGATTCCAACTAGAGTGGCTAATCATCTAGACATCATAGGCTTCTAACATATTTTTAACTCTGCTTTAGTCACATCAGGTTCAAGTTGCAGTGCCAGTGCCTAGATTTAAGTAACATAATTTTTAGCTATACAGTTGCTTTTTCCAAGTATCACTAAATTTACCAGTAACCAAGTTTAGCTGCATTTCCCTTCAGTAAAAGTTTGCTAATAATGACAGTAGGGATTGATGGATAGCAAAACATAAGCAACATAGAAATGGATTCAAACTGATGAACCAAGTTTTCAGATGATAAAAGCCCTCAACTGATCATTTAAGAATTTAGATCTGGATATTTCATAGAAATCATATAAGTTAAATGTAGAACACAGTAATACACAGTGGCAATGAAGTAGCTAACCTTTAGAAACCAACCAAGATGATGTTGTTCTGTATAATATTCATCTAGGCAAAATTTTGAAACCAAATGGGCACTGCAAGTAAAAGAACTTTGCAAGTGCCTAGCCCTCCAAACAGTCTCGAAATATTTACTACTTCTTCAATTATCACCTTTGATTACCTGGATACTATACTGGATCCATTGTAGAGGTCACTAGCATAAGACAGCGTTGCCAGGGGTCGGACAGAATTGTAACGAGTGAATTTGGAAAGGCACTCTTGAAATTCATCCAGCTGGCTTGAGGTTCTGCTGTCATCTAAATCAGACAATAGGAAGTAAGCATTTTTAAGAACACCACCAAAAAGTGAATATTGCAAAACATAACTTTCCAGTTTTGTTCCTGGGACCAGTGGTTTCCTATCACTCACTTTATACTTCAATTAAATACAAAGACAAACATTTGAATCTGCAGTATTGGCTTGACAAAGGTCATTTATGTTGTTCGTCAACATCTCTGAACATTTTCTGCAATATTTTACAGTATATTACCTTTATTCAGAGGTAGGATACCTGAATAATATGTACAAAACACATCTTACAGTATGCATATGAACAGTTAACAAAACCAAGCAGTGGCACATTGGGGAAGGGGGGATTCCATTACCCTGTCCTTTTCATAAAGGAAGACCAGGAAGAAAGGGGGGGGGGGGGAAGCCTCTTCACATTGAATCTAAAATGATCATCAATTCAAATCAGTTTGAAGTCGCATATAGTTTTATCTTTTAACTGTCTGAGCAGTCAAGTTTGCTTACCAAAAAAAAAAAAAAAAAGGCTGAGAAGAGACAATTACATTTCTTCCACACATTTAAGTTTTAATATTGTAGCCATTACCACTACAGTACATTTAATCTCAAAATCATCTATAAAATATAAATAAAAAAGTATTGGTAGAAGACA